GCGCCAGATAAGCCAACATCCCCCATTTTCATCACTTACAGCGCCCATCGTACAGGGCAAATGAAAAGTGTAACCGGGGTCAAAAAAGGGTGTTACATTTACTTAATTATGAATGTTGTTACATCAAGGCCGAAAATTAGGATGAGCACCAACGGTCAAAACTGTTTTTCTACCAGCGCAGCGCCTCCCCAGATCTGGCGCCCTAGGCGAACATCTATAACGCCAGTGCTACGGGCCGGCCCTGTGTGTGTGTGTGTGTGTGTGTGTGTGTGTGTGTGTGTGTGTGTGTGTGTTTGAAAGTGAAAAAGCGTCTGGTAGGAAAGGGAGGAGGAGAGGAGGAAGAGAAGGCATGAGGAAAGCGTAAAAAGAGTGAAAAGGACTGGACACTCACACACCTTGGTCTTTTAGAAAACTCAAACATTTGTCACTTTGGAAATGTGGTTGAAGTTTGATTGACACATATTGTAATGACTGAATGTATGGTTATAATTCCCTTGTGGTATACCTCCTGTCTGACGTAAGAAGATATGGTGGGGGGCACATGAGGAGAAATACAAAGCAGTGATAGATTTTCATTGTTCAAAGATAATTTTTTGTTAGAGATTTTGTCCACTTTAAATGATCCTTAGCATGCTTTTTGTCCTGTGATTCCTCTCCCAGGCCCTAACCAGCCAGCATTGTTATTGAGATATTTTGCAAATCTAAAGACATATTTATCATGCCAAAGATTTATAAATTCATATATTCATAAGGACTGGTTTCAGCTGTACGAGTAGCTGCATGGTCCTCATTTCGTAGTTGCACTCTCCACGCTGGCATGTCCTAAATCCTTGGTGCAGTCACTGAGCATTAGGGCTGAACGATATATTGTGTCATGGCGATAACCGCGATATGCGCATGTGCGATATTAACATTGCAGGGACGTGTGATTTTTTTTTTTTTTTAGGACGTGCGATATTAAGTAGGTACATTAACTCAAACACGTCATATTACAATTATTTTGCTGCTTGCCAAGCAGCAAAATAATTGTAATATGACGTGTTTGAGTTAATGTACCTACTTAATATCGCACGTCCTAAAAAAAAAAAAAAATCACACGTCCCTGCAATGNAAAATGTTTTTCTTTTGTTCTGAGAAAAAAGTCAGAATTCAGATTTTTTTCTCAGAATTCTGACTTTTTTCTCAGAACAAAAAAAAAACTTTTTAATTCTGAGAAAATCCTCCCAAAAAAATAATTCATGTGGCCCTAATCCTCTTCCGTACATATACATGACAATTGTATTATAATTTTTTTATTTGTTTTCCTTGCTTTATTTCAGGTTTGGATTCACTTTGTGCGCCGTTCCTCTACTTGAATTTCAATAACGAAGGTAGGGATTTCAATTTAAATAGCCTATTGTTATAACTACCAAGTGCTTTTCTTTAGTTTTTGACTTCCTTTCATACTTATCTTTTCACAGCGCTGGCATATGCCTGCATGTCCGCCTTCATCCCAAAGTACTTGTACAACTTCTTCCTGAAGGACAACTCTCATGTCATTCAAGGTGAGATATCGTCGAACAAACACCTGTTGTGTCGACCAGTTATACTGCCCTGCTTTGTTTTGCACAGTAATACAACACCACTAATTTCTTAGTTTTTATGGATATAAATTACACACTCCATGTCTCTATCTCACTTGTTCTTACTACTCCAGCCATCCAGGGTTTTTGAGATATTATGGTCAACTGCCACTGCACGTTAAGTAATAAGTATTAATATGGTCAGAGTACTCTGGCTATGTTCAAAAACAAATTATCATCGCCTGGCTCGGAGCATCAGGCCGTCAGCTCGATGTTGATTAAATTCTGGCTACATGTTGTTTCTAAGCTGTGAAAACTAATTTCAGTCCGTCCTAATGGAGTTTGCAGCCGAGCCACATCATTTAGATAAAGGGAAACAAATGAAACTGCAAAAGCCTGCAGAGCTATGTCAAAAGCAATTCTTATGTGACAACAGCTACACCTCTTGAACTCTGTGGGGGAATGTGACTATTATCCTTTCTATCCACTGCATGATGCCCTGGAGAGCCGGCTAATGTTTATCCATCTGTACCGAGCCCCTGTTTTCATTTACAGTGTGAAGAATTGGAGCCCCGCATTACAGGGTTTCCACTGGGCATGTGCACAAGTCAGTTTCCAAGGTTTCAGTGAATTAGCCGTCTACCTGCAACATTTTGGCTTTGTCTCTTTCTGATGATTTCTCTCTTATGGTTATTAAAAACACAAAAAGAAAAAACATATAACATATCATTTCAATTCCCCCCTCAGTCTCTTTGTTATAAGGCAGCAAATAGCTTCTTGTGATGATTTCTAAACTATGAGATGTCTTTTGCTTAAAGATTAATATGCTAAATTCAATCATTTGAGAGGTTAGTGTGTGAATGTTTACATGTTATTTAATATATATTGCATTCTTAGTAGTGGTGGAAGACGTACTCGGGTCGTATAGTTAAGTGAAAGTAATAATTCAGCAGTGTAGAAGTACTCTGTTACAATTAGAAGCCCTGCAATCAAAATATATTTACGTACCAAATCTTAAAGTACTCATTAACCAAAGTGGCCATTCTTTTAATAATATATAAAATATCTCTGGTTTATAATAATTTATACATTCACATGTCTTATCATGATCATTTTACAGCTAGGCAAGGCAAGGCAAGTTTATTTATATAGCACCTTTCAACACAAGGCAATTCAAGGTGCTTTACAACAATGAAAGACATTCAGACAAAGGCATTTAAAAACAGTCATTAAAAAGAAAAGATAATAAAAGAAACATTAAAAGAAGGTTACAGTGCAGTTTAAAGTGGACCTATCATGCTATTTTTGAATAATATATTGTAGGACCATACCTATATAAGGCATATTTATACTTTTTATTTTTCAAAATACCAAACAGATCATGCATTTTATCCATTCCTCATTTCGCTCAATTTAACACTGCCTTTCATGCTCGGATTCAGTGAGAACAGCACCATCTGGTGGCCTGAAATATGTACTACAGCGTCTCCAGCGCTTTCGAACGGCAATGTCCGTGGCTGTCTCCTCCTGATTGGTGGAGTTGGCCCAATAGCCATAGCACCACTTCTGTGACGTCATAGAAGTGTTCAAATCTGGATCAGTCTGTATCAGATCCGTTGCAGCCCCTTTTTTAGAGATTTGGGTATGGAGGAAAATAGAGAGGGTTGTGTTTTCTGACACTTGGTGAGTTCCCTGGAACACCGGGGACACATATTCATGTATAAAAGACGTACAAAAGTGCATTTTGCATGATAGGTCCCCTTTAAGATATGAATAGTTCACACAGAAGTTCCACTTTACTGATGAACACAATGGCTCAGTTTCAATTAAAAGCAGCGACAAAAAGAAAAGTCTTCAGCCTGGATTTAAAAGTAGTCAGAGTTGCAGCGGACCTGCAGGTTTCTGGGAGTTTGTTCCAGATATTTGGAGCATAATAACTGAACGCTGCTTTAGCTGGTAAAGGATCACATACTTTTGTTTTAATGCCAGGTATTTGGATTTAATATTTGTATTAATAATATAAACCTGCAAAAGTAACAGCCACTTATGTTGTCAAACAAATGTAGTGGAGTAAAAAGTACAACATGTTTTGGCCAGAATGAATGTAGTAGAAGTACAAAGTAACATGAACAATTCTCAAGTTAAGTCAAATTAAATTCTTGAGTACATTTAGTTCCTCTCCATCTCTGGTTCTTAGTATTGACTGCAAAGTGCTTGGTTTAGAAGACTCTCAATATAAAGTTTTAAGCACTCAAGCTTTACAATAACCTCTTGCCCTTTTATCTGTTTTTCAGAGTACTTGACCGTCTTCTCCCAAATGATCGCCTTCCACGACCCTGAGCTAAGCAACCATCTAAATGAGATTGGCTTCATCCCAGATGTAAGTTACCAAGAGAGCAAGCGCCCTGACACACTGACGACAGCAGACTGCAGAGGAGGGCACGCTAGGATAGCAGTAAAGTCTTCTACTGCAGGTTTACCTTTTAATGGAAAGTCAAGAAAGTATTCAGGATTCTTCCTCTCTGCACCAGGGCCAAAGAAAATGACCATCCATAGATCACCGTGTATATCCTTTCATTGTCATTGACACTTTTTGTTTCCATCATCCTTTCCAGAATTTGTGGCTGGGGTCATGCTCTCCCTATAGTCCACTGGGGATGATTTATACAGCGACTAATGTCTGCAAGGCACACTTAACGATTGTCCTCTGCCAGGCTTACATTATTTCTCTTACTCAGTGCCACTTCTTCCTGCCCTTCGCTTCCTTCCTTACAGCTCTGCTCAGACAGTGACAAGGTTAAAGTCTCTCCCTTCTCTGGGGTTTGGTAAGTGTGCTGATGAATGTGTGTCACCTATGGACCGGCCAATGGGACATTATCAGATGAAAAGTGGGATCTCTGTCATGGAGGAGTCAGGGTTTAAAGCCTCTTCCTCCTGCCTCTTGCCTTACAACACTGCAGCTTCTTTTTTAAAAGTGGAGCAAGTGAAGCGAACAACTGTAGCCTCTCTGTCAGTCTTTAAAATGTGTAGGAAAAACACAATTAAAGAAGATACTTTGGCTTAATGCCTAAATGTAACTTGTATTGCCTTTCCTTGAACAGATTGCCCCATTGGGTTCTTCCAATATCATCCGTTTTTACAGACTTTCAAAGAACATCATGCCTTTTTGATGCTGACCTGACACGTAGTGCATGTACACGACTACCAGCATTGACTTGCCTTTCAAAGGAGGCTTTCATACGCCTGCTTTCATTGTTGGGACAGGGTGATATTGGAACAGGCTTTGTTGTTACAGCTTGATGTCGATCCAAGTAATTAGACTTTTTTACAGACCATACATTCCTTTTTTTTCCTCTTAATAAAAACATTCAGATCTGTTCTTTTACCAAGGCAATGCATCCATCTGCTCTAAAAACGAAATGTCACTGCAGTAAGAAATGGATTTGATTTCCCATATCGAAGCATGGCTAGCTCAATACAGTTTGTCTTGTGCAAGCATGCAGTAACCACATGTAATCTTAGGAAATGGTGCGGGGTTGGATCCAGAAATGCCTGCAGCCATCGGCAGAGAGTCAGATTGCTACTGGACCAGCGGTTTGATTCAGGCCATTCTCAATTTGGCCACATCTGCTCTCTTGGGTCTTCCATTTGCACCTACACTAATCCAATCTGGCTGGATTCGCAGTGCTGTGGAGCTGTTGAAATTGAGGCAGCGACTCGGTGCAGTGGCTCTGTCTCCTGGTCATTACTCCTGGGCAGAGGGGGGGGGTCTTCTCGACAGTCACCGGCTCCTACGTAATTAGCTATCAATTAACTGACTGAGATAAGCTCCAGCATCCCTGCACACTCTGCTGCAGACCTTTTCCTAGTAAATATAACAGAGCGTGAGTGACGGTTGCCAGCGTTTGCCAGGTGTTGTAGCAGGTGGCTAATGGTGCAGTGTGTGTGCGGTCTTTAATTCCAATTTTATGCATTTCCTCCAGGGAAAGTGTGTAATGGAGAAAGTGGAAGTTGGAGAGAAAGAAGGATGGATGACACGACTTGTATAATGACATTCATTGTTAGCTTTCTCCCCGTCGACTAATAACCAAACGCAGAAGTTTGCTCTTTATCGTTGTTTCTGTTTCTCTCAAACCGGAGAGATGTGCAGCCTTTGTGCTGCATTTCTTAAAGAAAACTCTCCAGTGAGAAAACAGTTCATTTATTTCACTTTCAGCTCTCTGCACTTTGTTCCGACATAGTGAATATGTTATACAAATGAATGCTACATTATGTCATTAATGTGCTTATGTGTATTCTTTCCTTTCCCCACAGCTTTATGCCATTCCATGGTTCCTGACCATGTTTACACGTAAGTCGTTTTTCTTTCTACGGTGTGAACATGATGTGGCACTTAGCAAAACCTTTCAGAGGGCATTTTGAGTCTGTTTCATTTAGAGTATAAATAAAAGACTCTGAAGGTCAGTGGGCACAGTATGGATCAGCTCTGAAGGTTTTTGTAGGTTTTTTTTCTCTTGACCTTTATTTCCGCTGCTAATTCATCCCCGTTCTGAAGGGCTCTGTTGCTCAGTCCAACATTACCTCGGAATTTGAAGATCTTTCCTTTATCCATTCTGTATCTAAATGAATACATTTTAAAATACCAACATAAAGCTAATAAGACATCTGTTCGCAGCAATTTTTCTCGTCTTTGTGGGAAAATATCAGTAAGGTGTGTACCAGCTGCAAACATCATAAATATGTTGACCAAAACATCTTAACTCGAGACCCAAGGCTTCTAGCTTTTTCTGAGCTTTTAACTACATCTCAGTCTACATCAGTGGAAAGTGTTTTCTCAGTTGTCATTGGTCTGAACATGGTAGCCTACATGACAACTGACACACATATCTACAAATTCATGTTTCACGTTCAGTCTTTTAAACCATTGATACAAAGTAATTAATTGCATTTAATACTTTTACTCAACTTATTTATATCCATTTGCTGTTAAATCCTACTTCTTCTCCACTACATTTCCATACAGCTAGTTAGTACAAGTTACTTTCCAGAGATGCTAAATGCAAAATGTATGATACATTGTTATAGGACATAGCACTGTATATAAACCAATTTAAACTAGTTCCTTCTCAACCAACTCTATAATTACGTTTTGTCTTATGTTAATGCCCGATAATCATGACATAACATTTACATATCATCTTATGTCAAATTTATCATTGAATTTATAGCTTAATTATCTGAATTCGTTGTCCACTATCATTTTAACCCTCCTGTTGTCTTCGGGTCAAATCTGACCGATTTACTACTTTCATCAATCATAACTTTTTTGTTTTTCTTTCGATCGCATTAAGGTTTTAATGACCGCCATAAAGAAAAGGAATTCGTAACCATCCGGATCAGATAAAACACACACACACACACACACACACACACACACACACACACACACACACACACACACACACACACACACACGAGACACACGACGACGACACGAA